CACCTTTACTGGCTCCATCCCCGCCTCTTCGACCTGTTTGTTTCCTCTCCACCTATCCTCTCCTCTATCCCTCTTCTATCCGCCTCCCACTCTCTCCCTATTTATTTCAGAACCCCCTTCCCCTCCCCCTTTTCCGATGAAGGGTCTAGGCCCGAAACATCAGCCTTTCTGCTCCTATGATGCTGCTTGGCCTGCTGCGTTCATCCAGCCCTGCACCTTGTTGTCTCGGATTCTCCAGCATCTGCAGTTCCTACTATCTCGGACTACAACCTGGTGTCGTGTGATTTTTGACTTTTATCAGGTGATGAAGGAGCAGTGCTCCGAAAGCTTGTGATTTCAAAATAAACCCATTGGACTATAACCTGGTGTTGTGTGACTTCTGATTTTGTCCACCCCAGTCCAACGCAGGACCTGGAAAGGCCGAACAGAAGACCGAGAAACGATCTCACATACAAACAGTGTCATTATTTACATGGTAACCAGTTGGTAAAGTTGTGGCATTGGTTGGGAACTGTTTTTGGACGATGAATCAACATCTCACAGCACTCACAGCCAGACTTACTAAACCCCAGGGCCTGTGCTGACCAAGGCCCAGTGCTTTTATATCAGTGCAAAACACACACTGGGGAAGGAGCTAGTTAATTCTATCCAGAACCTATTTAAACCGAGCTGACTGTAATGAGCTAGCCTGAGCAGGTCCTACTGGGATTCTGCAGCCAGAAGGACTACATACTGCACCAAAAAGCATCTGTGGCAATCTAAATTAATTTAGATTCAGTACTTTTATTTTTCTTGGACAAAGTATGCAAATTTCAAGACAGATAGATAGTCATTCTAACACATTGTGCTTGTTTCACTGGTTCGTTCACCTCGCATCAACTAATAGGAACACCCTCCACTCTGTCTGTGGATAGGGGTGGGAAATTACCCAATGAAGCCTTTGGAGTAATGTTGAACAACATGTTTAAAAGAACATCCTACAGATTGGAGCATTTCAGATAAATGGATGGTTACACAGGGTAGACTACAGCAATTTATGCGCTAATGTAGAAAGGTTTTATAGGAAATCTGTGGAGAATATGCAGGCCAGATTCCCCTAGAATTAATCGCTCCTCAACCAAGTCTCTCATTTCCATTCACGTTGGCCAGATGAACAGAACTGGATTTTAAGTCAACAGCATAATCCTGACTAAAATAACACCGTGAGAAACCCAGATTATGACTGCATCGGAATTATAAATCAAGCCTGTATGCTGCAAAGTTGTAACTTGGGGATCTACCAGAAGCAGCTCACATTTTCCTGGCAGCCACATCATTTTCAAATCCCTTCCCTAAACAGTAGTATTCTCAAACAGACCAAAAACACAACAATCGAAATTGCTAAGTCTTAAACAGTTGAAGAAGACATTCAACAGCCTGATGTCTACGTGACATAGCAATGACAGCTTTACTGGGCCCCATTCCAATTTCTTTCGGTGGCATTATCTTAGATGAACACTACTGGTATCTCGTGGATTTGGCCACTTCTGCCAGTATGTGGTGTTGAGATAATTCTCCTTTGTCTTTGCTTTGTCTTAGCAATAATTAGTGATTAGTGGTACAGGATACACCACAGAGTATTTACGGAAGAGGAACTGTTCTTGGATAGCAATAAGATTTGTTACATTTGATCAGGCAAGGTTATAATGGGAGAAGCTACAGATATATCTGCTCCATCTGAAAGCTCGAGCAGAACTCAGTCTCCACCCAGACTGTGGGGCATCGGTAAAATGAAGGGATGAGCCAATAACACTTTCAGAACCACTGCCCTATATGATATCTCTTCAAAGCTTGTTTATTTTGCCATAGTTAATCTGTTATACAATCACGTGCACATCTATATGACATGGACCACATCCCGGTCTCTAACCTCACTAATCCAGGTGGTCTGGTTATTCCACGGTTTTCTCAGAATCACTCTCTCTTTGAAAGAATGGGAGGGCTCTTGCTAGGAGATGGTTGATTTTGGTGCTGATCTGTGGGTTGCTTCTCTGTTGGAAGTCAGGGGTCCGTCCTGTTCTTCGTGGACATTGTGATTGATCTGTTACCTTAACTGGAAAGCCCTTAATCTCCTGAATTTCCTTCCTGGAAGGCAGCTACTCTGTTGAAAGAAATACTTTCCTCCATGTGATATTCCTGTATTTCTGGGTCTGGCAAACACTTTCCAATTGGAAGAGGTAATCTCTGTTTACAGCATCTTGGATGCTTACACCAGGCAGCTTCCCTGGAGCTGTGAACATTGGACTGGCTCCCATGGAATCATAGGCAGCTCACCCTCCTCAAATTGATCATCAGGCTGGAGACCTTCAGACATCTGTTGTGGGTTTAACTGCGGAAGTAGGCTTTTCAGACACTCTCATGCTCCTGAAAGATTGTTGCTCATTCCGTGCCGCTTCTGTCCATTGACTGTTCTGTTTTCGAAGACAGAGATTGTGGTCTACTTAAATGTTGAGGAGGCCATTTGACAAGGTGTCACACAGTAAGCTGCACCCATGGGTGTTAGAGACAAAGATATTGGCATAGATAAGGGTTGGCTGACTGGCAGAATGTAAAGAGTGGAGATCAAGTGATCTTTTCTCAGCATGGCAGCCGGTGACTAATGGAGTTCCACAGGGGTCCATGTTGGGACCACAACTTTCACATTGTACATTAATGATCTGGACAAAAGGAACTGAGGGCGTTGTTGCTGAGTTTGCAGATGACACAAAGACAGATGGAGGGGCAGGTAGTGTTGAGAAAGCAGGGAGGCTGCAGAAGGACTTGGTCAGGCTCGGAGAGTGGGCAAAGAGTGAGATTATACACTTTGGTCAGAAGAATAGAGGAGTAGACTATTTTCTAAATAGGGAAAGCCTTCAGAAATCTGAAGCACAAAGGGAATTAGGAGTCCTAGTTCAGGGTACTGTTATGGTTAAGATGTAGGTACAGTGGGCAGTTAGGAAGGCAAATGCAATGTTAGCATTCATTTCAAAAGTACCAGAATAATACAGCAGGAATGTACTGCTGAGGCTGTATAATGTACTGGTCAGAAAGAATTTAGAATATTGAGAGCAGTTTTGAGCCCTGTATCTAAGGAAGGCTTTGTTGGCCTTGGAAGGAGACCAGAGGAGGTTCACAAATATGATCCTTGTCATATGAGGAGCGGTTGAGGACTCTAGGACTGTACTCGATGGAGTTTAGAAGGATGGTTGTGGGGGGGGGATCTGACTGAAACTTATAGAATACTGACAGAACTCAGAGTGGACATGGAGAAAATGTTTCTAGCAGTAGGAAAGATTAAGATCAAGGGGCACAGCCTCAGGGTGAAGGGTCAACCCTTTAGAACTGAGATGAGGAGGGACTCCTTCAGGCAGAGGGTAGTGAATCTGTGGAACTGATTGAGAGTATTTAAGACAGAGATAGGTTCTTGATTAGTAAGATGATCAAAAGTTATGGGGAGAATGCAGGGGAATGGGGCTAAGAAACATACCAGTTGTGATTCGATGGTGAAGCAGGGTTAATGACCTGAATTCTGCTCCAATATCCAATGGTCTTATGAACTTTTCAACTAGTCGTGTGAAGTTTGTGACTATAGCCTCTCTCCTGACAATGTTAAGCAGCTCCCTTAACGCCAAGAAAAGTCCTGCAGCTATGCCTCGGGCTTCCTAATGTGGATGTCGGCAATGTTTGCTGTGAGAAATGAGAACTCTCTTTTACAATCCCTTGCTTTCCCTTTGTATCATTTTTCACTCTGTTTTCTCTTCGGGTTCCCTAACCTTACCTCCTGGAGCTTTCAGTTGTTCCTTCTGGAACCTCCTTCTCGAAGGCTTTTTTATTTTCTCAGGATGGTTGCCTTTTCTCCCATTTCCTTTCCAACCCTCTTGCCCTAGCACTCATCATCATCTTCTGAATGAAGTTTTGCATTCAGAGGACTGAGCTTGCTTTTTTGCTGCTTTCGTAGCTTTTGCTGGCTCTCTTCGTTGATAACTGTGTTTTTGATGCTGACTGATTGTCGGTGTCTTCTTAAAGTGGCAATGCTTTTAAAGTGGTAAACGCACTTGAATTTTTTTAAGAGAAACTCAGGAGGTCTGGCAGTATCTGCAGAGAGAAAGCAGAGTTAACATTTCGAGTCCAGTGACCCTTCTTCAGAACTGAAGAACTCTGTTGTTCCCTCTCCACAGATGCTGACTTTCTCCAGCAATTTCTGTTTTTGTTTCGGATTCCCAGCATCTGCAGTTCTTCGTTTTTGTGCTTTTTTTAAATTCTTCTGAATTTCTTCTCATGCTGGGGGTCAGATTTCATCCATTACAACCATGTGGGAATTTCCCAGGTGATCATTCCCTGACCTCTACCATTACAAGGCACTGGGTAAAAGGTTGTTTGAGGCACAGTCAGTTCTGCTATAACATGTTTCGTCAACGCAAAATGGCTTTAACGCAAGTGAAGAATTTAGACCACTATTTGTAGAACGCAAACTTACCTTAGCTGTATTGGCTAGAATGTGATTCTGGCCCCATTAGTTTAAATGGAGTGGCTACTGTGGGATTTTCTTATACTGCGAGATTGCACAAGAGTGGAACTATCGCGTTATATCAGAACCAACTGCAGTGTCCTGCCACCGGCTACTCTTCTGTCTTGGGCCTATCGAGTGATTAAAAGTAGAGGATATACCACCGTAGACTCTGTACAGGAGACACACTGCTCCGGGTAACAGAAAGATTCATTGCATGATAGCAACTGGTAGAACTATATTTGGTCAAGCAGACTTATTCAGAGCTTAGGGAGCTGCTACAGATATATCTACTCCGTCTAGAAGCTGAAGTAGAACTCCTTGTCTCTACACACAGGCTGTGCACAGCCAATGTAACATGAACATTAACCCCTTCGGGACTATGACCTAATTCACTACTTTCAGTCAGTTTGAGTTATAAACGTGCAATGAAAAGTAAACTGAACTCGACTAATATTGGGAAGTAATGACTCACCATATCTGCTGTTGAAAAGAATCTGCACACATTCCCTCAGAATGTTGATATCTTCCGTCTCCTTTATATACAAGTTCCATTTCTCTGTGAAATAAGATCAGAGATACTGTAAATCTCTCCCACTCGGGAAGCCCGACAAGTAGTGGCCTACGGGTGTCCAGGGACTCTTACCACGTACAGCCCCTGCCTGTAAAGTGTTCCCATGCACATGTTCCCTGTGGCCTTGCCCCTTTGCAGCAGTAAGATAGGGCATGGGATGGGGGGGTGGGGTGCGGGGTAAGGTCGGTAGATTCACGTGTCGCATTCCAGTCAGGGCCTGCCCCAGTTGGGGGGCATCTGGAGAGGACAGGACTCCCCACAGTTTGCCACAACACGCTCCAGCTGAAGTAGGTAACAGGGCTCGTTGTAAAACCGCAGGATCTTCAACGTCCATTGGAAAGGCTGGCCCCGAGGGCCATTATTCCTGGCTCTTGCTTACAGCGCCTGATCTCTCCTTAGTAAATCAGCTGGGAATGACAGGACTAAAATAGGGAACTCACAGCTAACGGAATCAGCAGCAAAAGCTGCATCCCATCGCTCCATGTTGCAGCAGTTAGATTAGGTCTTAATTAAGACCATTTGGGATAAAAAAACCTGGACAAAACAACAGGAAACACAAGTTGAAGGCCCTTCAACGAACAAACAGGACATCACTATACTTGGAGAAGAGTACAATACTCATTCCATGGGTGAAGGGCCACATGCAAGATGAAAGAATTTATATTTAAACAAATATATCACACCCTTCAGATCCCCAGAAAATGCCTTGATGCATTACAGCCAATGGATTGTTTTTTGGATGTGGTTATTGTACAGGAGCACAGCAAGGTTCCACAAACAGCAATGAGATAATGACCTGTTTGATTGATGTTTGTTGAAGTATAAAAGCTGATCAGGAGAACTCCTCCCCGTTATTTTCAAATAACGCTGTAGACTCTTTTGTGGACATTCAAGACAGCAAATGGAGCTTTTGTTTGACACTGCCTTTCTGAAAGGCAGCACCTCTGACAGTGCTGCACTCCTGCAACACTATGCTGAAGTGTCAGCTGAAATGCAATGCTTGGTCCTGGTCTGGAGTTTGAATCCAGAGCTTCTCCTAGCTCGATGACGAATGGTACCTCTAATTCAAACCAACAAAGGTCCACAGTAACTGCAGGTTATATATAATCCCTGCGTGCAGGTACATTAAGTTATAGAGAGTAGTCGCCCACTTACTTTCTACCACAACCACAGACAGAAAGACAATTTTATTTAAAGCTGCTCAATTTTATTTCCGCCGGTAAACATGTAGTCTGTTCGAATCTTTTCATATGCTGTACAATATCTATCCTAACTCTCACCAAGGGACCTGCCTCTGTTATTCGGAAAATCCTGTGAATAGTGATGAAATACTAAGAGCAGTTGTCTTCACATCCTAAACTAAAAGTACTCATGGACATGAGGAACTGAGCACTGTAAGCCGGTATCCGAACCAAGTACTCTGGGGCCTTGGGTAGCCTGGCAGTGTAAAACTCACTCTGCGAGGTCCCAAACTGCCTCCATCAGAACAGCACGTTATATTCCCCACACCAGCCACCCTGGGGTTGCTGTAAATGATACCGCCAACCTGGAGTCTGTTGTCTCCATGGTACTACACACCTCCTGGAACCCTGCAGTCTCAGATCGAACGTTACATATTTCATCCCCTGGACAAACTACACTCACACAATCCAGCCCAGGGACTACACCTGCAACAGTGTTTAATGAACCTATTACATATAAACACAGAAAATGCTGGACAAACTCAGCAGATCTGAACAGCATCTGCCAAGAGGGGAAACACGGTTAACCTTTGATGTCAAGGACCTTACTTCAGAATTGAAAGCTGGGAGAAACGTGTGGTGAGATGGGTAAAGAAGACGAAGAAGAACAACAAGAGTACAGAACAGAGGGTGGGAGAGATTTAATGGAAACTAAAGGCAAAGGGAGTGGTAATTTTTATAGGTTCAGAAACAATAAAGAGAGTGGGTGTGGATGGCAGAATAATGAACAGCTGTGAGAAAAGGAAAAATATGAAAGGATGAAATTAAGACCAGCCCATACAAAAAAGAAAAGAAACAGCAAATAAAAGCTTGTGGCATGAAATTGTTAAACTGAATATTGCGTCCAGTGGGCTGTAGATTACCCCACGAAAAGATAAGGTACTGTTTGGTTGCCAATTACCTCACCAACTCCTAACACAGATGTCTATAGACCTTATGCTTATTATCAGTTGGAGTACGTAATGAATAAGAGGCATCCTCTCTCAACCTATGCCAACAACAGTTGACTCTTGTGGTGCGGTGGCCTGCCCCTCCCTCTGACCCAGGAGGCCTAGGAGTGATCTCATCTGCTCCAGAGGGGCGCAATAACATCTCTGACCAGGTGGATTAGATAATAACACCACCAATAACAGACACAGAGAAATGGTGTTTACAAAGTAACTGAAGATCATTTAAACAGTTGTCAGGCTATCAAAAGAAACAGGCAAGGACTTGTTTTTGGAACTTTAGTCAAATAGAATCATGAGTAGCTTGTCCTGAATCCCTGGATCACCAGTTGGATTGACAAACCAAATCTATTATGGTACAACTCCACAATCACTTGAAGACACTCTGAGAAAGCAACTTCTTCAAATGAGGATTCCTGGCCTGCATTTCTGGCAAGGTTTTTTTTTTAATTCATTCATGGGATGAGTGTGTCATTGGCTAGGCCGAGCATTCACTGCCCATCCCAGAGCATAGTTAAGAGTCAACCACAATGTGAGTCATATGCAGTCCAGTCCAGGCCAGGCAGATTTCCTGAAGGACATTCGTGAACCAGATGGGCTTTCCTAACAATCAGGTTCATTGGTCATCATTAGACTCTTAATTCCAGATTTTTTACTGAACTCAAATTCCAGCATCTGCTGTGGCAGGATTCAAACCCGGGACCCCAGAACATTACCTGAGTCTCAGGAGTAATAAAACCGAAAGAACTGAGGATGCTGTGAAAACAGAAGTTGCTGGAAAAGCTCAGCAGGTCTGGCAGCATCTGTGAAGAAAAAAAATCAATCAGAGTTAACGTTTCGGGTCCGGTGACCCTTCCTCAGAACCAGACCCGAAACGCTAACTAT